TTACAAACATGACTCATCAGCTCTCTAGAAGATGCTACAGCTGCTAGAGCACAGCTGCCGCAAAGCTGTCCCAACTAGTTTTCTATAGTGTATAGTGTGCTTGAGCAAATCGCACAAATATGTGATTTGGGAAAGTTGAAATCAATGAATATACACTGAGCGAAATATGTGGAGCAGCAGTTACAATTTGCCTAAGAAAATATTGTATTAATTTTTTGTAAATATTGAGAATGAGATGTGTTCCTGCCTAGGCTGTGGTCTCTCTCTCTCTCTCTCTCTTTGAATAGTCAAAGGAATATGCTGCAAAACTGTGAACATTGAACTGTGAACGGTGACCTGCGAACTGTGAACTGTGAACTGTTCACAGCCTCAACAACCTAGTTTTACGCAAATCGTGTATTATAATCTGAGCAAAGTTTTTGCTTTTGTTTTCGCATTAATGCCACAAGGCAACAGCAACAGCAACACCAACACGCGGCCGTCTTCAGTGTCGACGAGTCATGAATAAAAAATTAAATGAAAAAAGAAGCAAATATTAAAAAAAAAATAATAATAATAAAAAATGAAAAACAAAAAAAATAGACAAAAACTAGAACAATTTGTTTTGAGCATTTTGCGCACAATGAACAAAGCGAGGCAATTGCTTTGTGCATGATTTCATTTTAATTAAATTTTGTTTGGTTTTTTTTCTGCTTTTTGCTCTTGCGCTTTTTATAATTGCATGCAAACAATGCGAGACGAGCACATGGCTGACTTTTATGGGGCCTCGCCCCCTACCCCCAAAGGCCTGCCGTCAACCCCTCCGCAGCGCGCCCCCACAGCCCACGGCGCAGTCTTGTGGATGTGCAAAATTTTGTTTTGCTTTGCGTTTGTTTGTTTTTTTTTTTTGCGTTTTTTGCCATGCAGCGCATTTGGTATTACGAGCAGCATTTGTGGCAGCAGTTGTACATGTTGCCAAGGTCAAGTTGGGCAATTATCATAATTTTTGAGCTTTTGAGTTGCGCTTATTTGGCTAAAAACGAAGCTGGCGAAGCCTTGTTAATGGCACTTAGCTCAGCAGCGAGTAGCTGCGTTGAAACTGGAGTAAACGTGCCTTTAATTTAATTTTAGTTTAATTCGTTTTTTTATATTTTAAGTGAATTACTTTTAATAATTTCATATTATAATGAGCTGAATGGATTTTTTTGTAAATATTTTTGATATATTGCTCTACACATTGCATCATCGCTGCCCGTGATATATTAAAAAATTCTACTTGCTATTTTTGTTTGACTTAAGGTTAACAAGAAATAAACAACAACAACAACGAGAACAGTAAACAACGGCAGAAGGCAGCTATAATTAATCACATACAAAATCAACAAGATCCAAAAATATATGTATATATAAATGTACGGATATTTGTTCTGTCAGTTTTTGATGACGAAGGGGGAAATTTATGTCTGAACTAATCCAATCAGCTGCAATTAGAATACCCTATAGTGGAATTCGATTGAGGAAGACTTTTGGTTAAGCTCTTCATATGTATGAACAGGCAGCATCTTGTATGCCCAGCCAGGTTAACGCTTTGCTGTTCACACTCTTGAATTTAATTTTGTTTTAAGCGTGTTTTTTCAAAGAATTCGGTACTTTTTGCTACATCAAGCTGCGCTCAAAATATACCAACTAATTAAAATAAATTGGCTGCAGCTGAACTCATCAATGCGCCAACTGGCGAGGAGCAGAGTGGGGGAGCAGGCGGCTATTGAGCAGGTGTTTGACAAATTGCGATGCTGCCTCTTTGTTCTTCTCACAGCTAAACAACAGAAATACTAAACACATACAAAATTGTTTCTCGTGCTTGTTGCATAATTTATAACACTTTCACTTAATAGCCACTAATTGTGGCTGGAACATGTTGTTAGCGGCGATCAGAGATTGGTATTGTTTGACTTTGTTTTTGTCGACTTATGCAATAGGCAGAGTCGATAAATTTGTATCCAAAAACCTGTACCCAAATTAGTGGGTCGCTTGAGCAGTAGATGACCGAATGGTCTGTTTATAATGAAGTCATTCGATAAATATGAACATGAAACATGATATGAAGCTCAAACAGTGGCGTTAAATGTGCTTTTTAAGACTCTTGATTATTCATGAATATATAGAATTAAATGGGGTGACAAAAATTATAGGCGAACTTAATGCTGTTGAAAAAATCATTTGGTTTCTTCTCTCTTGTGTCTTTGATTAGCGCTTCTAGACTTAAGACTTCCTTAATTAGTTACCTATTAGCTTAAAGACTATGGCACAACTGCGACAGAGATAAGCTGTGTTCAGTCTCCAAGCAAGGTGACCTTTAGAATCATGGCTCTTTAACTCTTTGCATCTCTTTCTGTATGGTTCTTACTACCTTTATCTCTTACTTTCCTGCAATCTGTCCTGAATATCTGTCTGTCTGTCTATATCTCTAACTTTCTTTCTATCTATCTCTTTTCCTCTCTCCTTCTTTCTCTCTCGCCCTCCAACCCTCTGTCACCAACTCTCTCTTTCTACTCTCTTCTCTCTCTTTCTTCGTGTTCTATTTTGTCGCTCTTTTTCCTTCTCGCTGAGTCTTTTCCTATAACTTGGAATACTTAAATTCACTCTCGTTTAATGAGGCTAAAATGTAAATTGGGATTTTAAAATGAGCTCGCAAATCATTTGCTGACACTTAAAATAAATTCAAACAAAGCTCTAAACAAGTTCCACAGCAGCAACTGAGGTATGGTATATGATAATGCAAATATAATGCATATATAACATATATAGTATGTATATATAAGTATATATTCACATAGCTAACGAGCTGCAGCTAAAAGCTAGAACTAAGCAACATTCTGTTTGCTCTCTCTTTCAATCTGCCTCTCTCTGTCTCTATGTCTCCCTCGCACAGTCTCTTTCTCGCTCTAGCTTAGCTGGTGTCACTTGTCTGTTGTAAAATAAATGTTTATTGCTTTTTAATATTGCACATTGTCTGCATAAATTTCACGGCATTCAGACTCACAGACAGACAAACAGATCGCAGCCTCTGCAACTTTGTTATTATTCTCGCTGTATTTTTTTTTTCATTTTCTTTTTCTTTTTATTTTTTTATTTTTGTGTGATTTAAAATCAAACTAAATCTGCTGCCAATCCGCTGGTTGTTGAAACTTGAAACTCATAATTTTTAATTTATTTTATGTGATTTTTATTTGTCGATTAATCCAAGCAACAACAAGAGCCGCAGCCAACCCGACGACGCTTTATGAAACCTAAACGTACAAAATTTATTTCCTACCCGGTCGGAACCAATGGCCAGAGTCGCGGCAGCGGCTGGGGAGCCAAACTCAACACATAACACGAAATCAGATTAGCATGTTTTACAGGCCGAACAAGCCAAGGAACTGAGCGAACTAAGCCAATTGGTGTGGTGCATTCTTTCCTATATCTGACCCCCTCCCTCTCTACCCGCTACCTGCTACCCGCTACCCGGGGGCACACGGCTTTGCCAAGTTCGTAGGTTGGGATGCTGGCCAAAAGTGAATGTGTTGAATGCTTTCTCTACTTTGTAATGTGCCAATTGTTTGGACAGATGGGAAAAATTATTGCCGCGAATTGACAGTGGGGCAATTGGTGCTATAAAACATAAATCCCGAAACCAAAATGTGAACTGCACTCAACGGCTCAGCTGAGTCGGCTGAGCATGTGCAGCGGCGGCAGCAACCACCTGCTGCAGCCACCTGAAACAATTTCGCTTTAATGAGAGCCACTAAAGATACAAGATCTGGCGATCCTTAAGCTGCAATTGTTATTGTGCTCATAATTGTATTATTTATGGCAAATTGCTCTGAATAAATTTGCCTTGGTGAATGGTTCGAAATGGTTCGAAGCTACTTGAGTTTAGAGCAACTGCATGCATGGCAGATATATATGATTCAGCTGTTGGATTTATATATTCTATATTTTATACAAATTATACAATTAGCCTGCAGCTGACAGGAGGCGTATCTTTCTGTCATATAAGCCCAAAGGCTGCTTAAAGTAAGAAATATAGAGTATATCTGACTGCCTTATGACCCTCTTCTGCTTGAGCTTGACTTCCTTTTTAAAGTCTCCCACGAATCATGAGCCTTGCGTGTGTGCGTGTCAACAGAGTTTTGCTCCAGTTAAAGCTACAAGTGCAGCGGGCCCAAAAACGCAATGCGCTGACCACAGCGAAGCCGCCAAGATGCAAGCACCAAGCCCCAAAACCAAATAAAGCTGGCGACCCAACAACAGCAACAACAACAAGAGTAACAACAATGATGGCAATTTGTTGATAAACATTTCGCTCGCAATAAATAAACAAATATACGAGTGTACCTTGGCAACAAGTTGCTAAGGTCTATGGCGCGAGACAGTTCAAAGGAAACAAGAGGCGCGATCGGTAACAGAAACTTGCAACAGGCAACAGCCTGAGCCACAGTCAGCAAACACGGCTAACAGCCAACAGGCCATATAAATGCAAATGCTCTACACGCTGCTGGTTTGCTCGCCCAGCTACGCTGTTTGCTGTGTGCTCTGGGGCAATTTTTCATTTGATTCCATCTTCATATTTTATTATGCCCCAGCATCCAGCGCTGTGCCGCAACATCGTCCATTTCCATTTCCATTTCCAATTGCTGCGCGGCTGGTTTTTCCTCAGCTTTTCTTCTTTTTTTTTCCTTCAGTTGATACCAATTTCGCGATATGACAAACTATGTTTGCATTTTAATTTTTAATGCGTGTGAATTTCGCTGGCGGCGCACTTGCTCTCAGTTCTCTCTGGCTGCGAGATGCTCGTGTCATGATTTGCTGTTGCTTTTAATTGAAATTTTATGAATTTATTGCTTTCGTTTTTTCCTTCACTTGTTTTTTGTTTCTTTGCCTGCACGCAAGTGTGAGGGAGTCGACGATAGTGGGAGACGATTTAGAACACGCCAGCCAATGTCTTATATATTATTGTCTGCTCCGTTTATTTCCAGATGAATCAGACGTGCAAGGTCTGTGGCGAGCCGGCAGCTGGGTTTCACTTCGGGGCATTCACATGCGAAGGCTGCAAGGTGAGTAAAAGCTCCATAAAAGTATATTTATATTCTTATACATTTGTGATGTTATCGGTAATTGATATCGATTAAATTTATCGATTTAGGCTATTAATGACATATAATGATAGTTTGATGTTATGAATTGTGCGTATCGGCTTATGTAATCTATCAATAATTATTTATCGATTTTTGTATATCGATTATAATTCTTGATTTCTATTGATTTTATCCAATTGTGATATTTATTGTATTCATAGGTTTATATTATCGATGCTTCGGTTTTTGTTATCGATTGTACTTGATCGACTGAACCTATAAATTATTATAATCGAATTTATCGATAAATACGGATACATTCTTCATATTATATATTGAATATTAAATTTAAATTCGATTGCTTACAGTAGTTTGATTGCTAATTTGTCAATATCGATATCATATTGTTATCGATAAGCTTACAAGAGTCTGGCCTAAGACAATTATGGATTAGTTAGGGAAAGAAGCAACAAATACTATTGGCTGAATTGCAATGCGAATAATTTTCCATGAATTTAATAATAGTAATCGACACTCGGCGCCTCCCTGCCAATATGAATAATAGTTATCGATCGCTATTGGCATTCCATAATAAATCGCTGGTCGCATCGTGACAAAGCCGTAGAGTAAATGGTGCCATACCAAAACTGGAATGTTGAGTTCATTACGAGCAATATTAACCGAGCAGCACCACTGCCACCAACAACAACAACTGCAATAAGATAAACGACAACAAAGAACGCCTCAGGCTAAGGTCAAAGTTAAACAAAAAGAGCGCTCCACAAAATGCATAATTGATTTAAACACGAGTACTTTAAATGCCTTAGGAATACGCTCTAGTCGAAGAAGGAGAAGGAGAGGGAAAGGGGGGGCGGGGCGGGGGCAGGTCGAGGTTTTCTCTTGCTTTGTTTGGCTGGGAGAAAAAGGTCAACTAACGTACAATTTGTGGGTCAACATTATTTGATTTGTGCGCCATGGCGTGGGCCGGCTAATTTGACGCCCACCCCAAATCAAAAGCCCCCAAAACGAAACGAAGCGCGTCGCTTCAATGATGATGCAGCAGTAGACTAAGAGCCATGAGATGAGATGATTGAGAATCGCAAAGAGAGGGACGCGAGCAGACGGAAGACGGAAGACAAGCCAAACAAACAAAAGTGAATCCGCCTTGGCGCACAAAATTGCCTGTAAATAGCCGACGCGGTAAGTTCGTCCGGTTCTGCTGCTGCTCTTTCAAACGAAACTGAAACCGAAACTGAAACTGAAGACGTAAGCCTAAAGCCGAAAGAAGCGCACAGAAAACAGAAAACAGAAACTAAATAAACATAGCTATACGAGAAACCCCCCACCTCCCGCCCCCTGCCACTCTCATTTCCATTTCCGACCCAGTAATCTTGATGCCCAATTAACCTTAAAAGTGGATTTTTGCATTGTTTCTGTTTCGATTTGCGCGTCTCCACGGCAACGGCAACGGCAACGGCAACTGCAACTGCAACTTCGACTCGAACTCGAGCTCCACCTACGACAACCACTGACTGAATACTGACAGAGCTGACTGTCTGTCTGGCTGTCTGTCTGGCTGTCCGTACGCCAACTTGATTGCGACGCTGCGCTGTGATTTACGTTCAACATTGCAACTTGGCATAAGTGTTGCACAGCCTATAACCTTTGCAACATGCTGCTTGCCACAGCAACAACACACAGCACACAGCAACATGTTGTAGTCTTTTTCGTGCCGCATTGAATTAAATTGTTTGTTTGCTTTGTTGCAATTGATTGTGGCCCAGCCAACGGTTAATGTTGCGCTCGTAGGTGTAGGTGGCAGCGACTATGGCTATAGCTGTGGATGTGCATGTTGCATGTCGATACGTATTTCTTCTTTGGCACTGCATTTAAGACTGCTCTGCAACAACAGCAACAGCAGCAGCAGACGCTGATGAATCATCAAAAAAATTTAATGAGATATTATTGCTGAATGACATCACGGCTTAGAGGCGATGAAAAGGCTCCAAGACTGAGAGAGAGAGAGAGAGAGAGAGAGAGAGCTTGGTTTTAGCTGGGCAAGAGCTGTGTATGCTCAGCTAAAACATACCCTATACTTACAGACGAAGATCACATCTAAATGCTGTAGAGGCTTCACTATCTTCCACTATTATTCGATAAGTACAGGGTATCAGCAGACCAAAAGATACCCTGCACACAGCTACACAGTAGATCTCTCACTCCTGTAGAAAAAGCCCACATATATACTTTTAGTTGATAAGTACAGGGTATCAGCCGCACTTGAGCTCCATGCGAGTATTTGTAGAAGAAAAGCATTCAAGCTGTCTGAATGCAAACACAAGTTGAGTGCGTCTAAAGTAAAGCAACATTTTATCAAGCATCAAACAAATAGATCAGTAACTAGAAAAGTCAGAAACGGTAAAGAGAGCTCGAGTTGTCAGTGAGATGAGAAGCTCAAGAATGAAACAAGCAAAGAACTTATAAGTAAGAGAGTCTTTGGAATCTTTGGGAACTCTTGCCTCTGCTGCCGAAACTAATCTACTTTTTAACTTCGCTCTACTTTGCAGTCCTTCTTTGGCCGCTCGTACAACAACCTGTCCTCCATATCGGACTGCAAGAATAACGGCGAATGCATCATTAACAAAAAGAATCGCACGGCCTGCAAGGCGTGCCGCCTGAAGAAGTGCCTCATGGTGGGCATGTCGAAGAGCGGCTCACGCTATGGTCGTCGCTCCAATTGGTTCAAGATACACTGTCTGCTGCAGGAGCAGCAGCAGCAGGCGGTGGCTGCCATGGCGGCGCATCACAACAGTCAGCAGGCGGGCGCAGCGGGCAACACGGCCATGGGTGGCGCCTCCAATGGCTGTGTGAAGGCAGGTGTGCCGGCCTCGTCGGCAGCTGCTGCTGCGCTGGGCATGCTGGGGCATGCGACGGGTGGGTATCCGGGTCTGTATGCAACGGGGCCGCCACGCAGCAAGGAGGAGCTGATGATGCTCGGCCTGGAGGCCAGTGGTGACTATGGCGGCATTAAGCATCCATCGCTGGTCGCCTCGCCTTCGGTCAGCTCACCGGACTCACACAACTCGGACAGCTCCGTGGAGGTGAGCAGCGTGCGTAGCAACTCGTTGCTGCAGCTGGGTGGCAAACAAAGTGCCGCAGGCGATGCTAACCAAACGGCGCAGGGCGGCACAGCGCCTGGGCGACCGCCACAGCTGCGCAAGGATCTGGCGCCGTTTTTGCCATTACCATTTCCGGGTCTCGGCTCGATGCCAGTGATGCCACCGCCCGCATTTTTGCCACCCTCACATTTGCTCTTTCCCGGCTATCATCCCGCGCTCTATTCCCATCACCAGGGCCTGCTGAAGCCCACGCCCGAGCAGCAGCAGGCGGCAGTGGCTGCTGCCGCAGTGCAGCATTTGTTCAACTCGAGCAATGCGAGTGGGCAACGCTTTGCGCCGCAGCTGCATGCGTCGGCGCCCTTCGGCCACGCCGGCCTCAAAGAAGAGTCCGCGCACAGTCCCAACCACAATAACAACCACAATTTACTGCCCAATGGCAGCAGAACAGCGACTAGCGCCGCAGACGAGCTAACCAAGCGCTTCTACTTGGACGCTGTGCTCAAATCACAGCAGCACAGTCCTCCGCCGCTGGCGACAAAGCTGCCGCCGCACAGCAAGCAGGACTACTCCATATCGGCGCTGGTTACGCCCAACTCGGAGAGCGGGCGGGAGCGTGTGAAGAGCAGGCAGAGCAACGGCGAGGCGGACGAGGAGGAACGCGAAACGGCCACGGGCAGCGAGAAAGCTGCAGAGGAGGAACTGGAGCCGGAGGAGGACGATGAGGAAGACTTGGTGGTGTCCATGACGCCGCCACGTTCGCCAGCGCAACAGCAGTCGGCACAAGTATCGGACGAGCATGCAGCAGCGCAGGACAATCCGATCGATTTGAGCATGAAGACCACTGGCAGCTGCAGCTCCAGCTACCGAAGTTGCAGCAGTATCAAGAGCAGCTGCGCTCAGATTGATGCCGAGAACTACAGTGATAATGAGCCAGCAACTGCTACGGATAAGGAGCCAGCCGATGAGGTGCTCCAAGTAACAGCCCTGGACGAGGAAGACGCCGAGGAGCAGGAGTCAACGCAAGCTGAGCTCGAGGATAACAGCACCACGGAGACGGTCAAGACCAGCATAGAACAAACCCAAAACATGAATAACAACAACAATAGTAACACCAACAACAACAACAACAACAACAATAGTAACACCAGTGATAACGAGGCCAACGATAGTATCAAACGTAAATTGAACGAGCTGCTGCAGGAATCGAATGGCTCGAAGCGTCTGCGCCTGGACTCGCCGCCTGCAGCCGATTTGCCCGTTAAACTGGCCACCTCAACGGCACTCGACCTAACCAACAAGGTTTGATCGATGGGCCCAAATGTTAGACAAATTGGCGACAGTTAGTCGCTGGGCGTAACACTATGCAACAAAGTTCAGCGTAGACATAAAATGGATTTCAATTTCCATTGAAATTTAAATTCTGATTTATTAGTAAAAATATTTTTAAATTTTTCTATAATTTTTAAAAATCTAAAAAAACTATTTCAAATATTTTTAGCATATTTCTGTTTAGTTTATCATACAGTGGACACAAAAACCAAAATTATTTTAATATATTTTTGATCAAAACCGCCAAATGAGCAGCATTAGCATGTTCTCAGAAAGCTTGTCCTCGAAAAACTCATTAAATAATTGAAATAAATAATGCATAAAAGAAATGTTGACAAATGGGCAGAAGATTTAATTTTGTTGCATAGTGTTATATAGAGTGTGTATAAAATGTACCATTGACCACCTAACCCAGACTCCCTGACGACCTTTTCCACTTCCACCCCGCCCGCTATGCCAAATACAACAACAACAACAAGAATTCGTGCGTTCAATGTTAAGATAAAGCTTCGAGTCGTTTGCTTTTATTTTTATTTGTATTCTCTTTAAAGAGATTATCACATTGTTTAAAACAACTAACGAATATGAACAAATTTGCATATATGCGATCTGAAAAGTATAACAAGCGGCGCGAGTCGAGTTCTTAATTAGATGCAACGCATTAAACGCGAAGAAGAAGAAAACGTTTCGATCGAGCAAAATGAAATGTTGCGAGTATTTTAGACCGATGACAACAAGGAATGAGATCGCATCGAATCCAAATTGAATCGAATCGAGACCAGCCTAAATTGTTGCAAAATTATGCAAAGAGCGCCAATCCGTATCGTTTGCATAATGAATGTAGTAGTGGAATTTGTTAATTTATAAGAAAAAGTTTTTAGTTATATCTCTAGCATAATATATATAGTAATAATACGGACAAATATATACATATATATACCTAAAGTTTCTTTAATAGGCGTATAGAAATTATTTCAAGTATTTCTTAGCTTACAAATTGTAATTTTTAAATTCTATATATACACACAAATATATATATATATATATATACCTGTACGATCATAGCGAATTTCAACTTCGAGTTATTAGTCACAATTAGCAAATTTGTATGTTTAGCCTCTACACATAAATAAATCAAATGAAAAGCAACAACATGTATAGCATAATTTATAATAATTATCTAGACTATTTGTATCCGATGTTTTTCATGTGGAGCGCATGAAAAATATTGACGATATTAAATAAACACAAATAAATATTTAGATGAACGACTTTGATGGGCAGTTCGATGGGTTTCAGGGCGCGTTAAGGGCCATGAGAAATTGGGTTAAAGCCAACATCAATATGCGCGTTGAGCTTAACATATTTATCGTTACGGATGCTGGGAGCATGGAAAACATTTAGAGCAATGGGCTGCTTAAGAGAAAGTGGATCATAAAACTAAACGAAATGGATACGTTTTTTCCAAAATATTAAAATGATATAACAAAATCAATTTATTAAGGCTTTTAATTTAGCTCGACATTTACCAGATATCAACGGGGAAATACACAGAGATGAGCTACAACCATGTAGAAATATGCTGTCAAATATCTTCATATGTAACTCTCTTCCATTGTGGTTTCTTTTGACTGTTTCGTTCTGTAACATTAACTAATTCGCTGATGCATCTGATGAGTTGCTTAAATTAGAAATTAAAGAGGGAATCTGAGCTGATGCTGCCACTGCTGGCTTTATCTGAAAATCAGTCCCCAGACACTCGTCAGCAAGTGCAAACTGCAGTTCAGCGAAAACAATTCCCACACAAAGCAGCAAGCGGATCTTTTTCTCAGAGCCGCAGTAAACTCAGCGAGCAGCGAACAGCTTCAGCTTCAGCTGTGTCAATGTGCATACCAAGAGAGCCAATCAATCCGAAATCTATTTCAATCAATCTTTGCGTAATTGTAAATACTTTCAACATATTTCGCTTCGCCAGCTACGACTGACAGTCGACGCGACGCGATGGCAACGGCAACGGCGACGGCGACGGCGACGGCGACGAGTTTGCGACGAGTCGACGGTAAATGGCGCGAAAATTATAGCAAATGCTCCACAGCGAGAATGTTGGATAGCTTGTTGGGTGCGGGGCATACGCTATAAGCTATACGCTATACGCTATACGCTATACGCCATAAGACCTGAATTCGTTTCTATTTATTTCACACTTGAATTGATGCGCTGCTGCAGATTGACATTTTGCAAATGCTGAGCTTGCTCGACTCTTGGTTAGCTGCCTTTGCCAAGCAATTGCCAGCAAGTGAGACTCTGAGACAGACAGAAGCTGCCTCTGGGGCTCATTGGGTGCAGGCTTGGCCATCGCCAATGCGCCGTAGACAAGGCTTGACGAGTTGACGCGCCAAGAGATCTAGTCAGCCGCTGGGGCTCTGCTTCTTCTTTTTTCCTTTGGTGGGGCGTCCCTTGGCGCATTGTCAGCACTGAATAGTAGTGCAAATAAATTTCAATTGCGAGACACATTCTCCCACTGACATTGTTTGACACCTTGACTGCACACACACACACACAGGCACACAGTGAATTTGCATGTAAATGACAGTTAAAGAGAGCGAGAGAGAGGGAGAGAGAGAGAGGGGCGCAGTCTGCAGTATTTGATCTGCAAAGATTGGCCAACACCCAGCGGCGTTTTTTGCTAACAAGCTGGCAGAAGCAGTTAAGCGACGTCTGCTACAGACGTTGACGACGAAGACGACGCACCCAGCTACCAGTTGATAGTCTGTTTGGTGCGATCCATGGCTCTACTCCATTTATATGCTCCAAATCCATTAAGTGTTTGGCGCTTTTATTTGCTGCCCACACACAGAGAGATATGAAGAGAGAGTGAGAGACGCTGACTACACCCTAAACTCTTGTCGCGCATTTGGAACACTTTCCGCACCTACGACAACAACAACAATAACGACGACGACGACGTCGACACCAACGCCAGCTAAGACTGGAACTCCCAGGTTGCTGCGTCTCTGCACGCATCGTTGTTGCTGCCGCTCCAAGCCCCAGTTTGGAAGCGTGTTGTGTGCCAATATTAACACCTAGCTGCAAAAACCATGAACCGATCTCAACTGGGCACGTTGATGCGCTGAAAGCCTCTAAGAGTCTGAACGACTAGTCTGAATGCATTTCAACAAGCGCTGGCAACTAGTACTTCCATTGAATAATGTAATCAACACGCCCACACTGACAACGCCTCGGCAATTGAACTGCTCTCCTACTGATACTCGTATGAAATCAAGTTTACTCTGAACTGGGTTAAGTCTTGCGCAATGGAAACGGAAACTCTTGGTGAAAACTGGAGTAACTCAAAGGAAAATCCCAGGAAAATACCTTTTTGACCAAAGAGTCGTTGGTTTACATATGAATTTGACTCATAGGGATCTTGTATGTGGGATTACCTAAAGGCATTTGGCTCGGAATACTTTCTCATATTCATCTTTAAGGAATTTGTAGCTGTCAGACAAGAATTCGCTTCCCTTTCCTATATTTTATTATATATATCGATTATCATAGTTTTAATTATGATAATTTCTTAAATGGTGTGATTAAAATAACGATAAGAATTAAAAAATGGGACCAAGTCGTGTGTATTGTGTCAAAAAGAAATATCAAGTAGCCGCACTCAGCATTTACATATTGATCACATTAACCGAAAACCCGATTAGACAGAGAAAGAGAGGCAGGGAGAGCGGCAGGGAGAGAGATGCTGAACAGTTCTTTAGGCGTTACCCAGCCGCAATCGAAGACAGGGGCAGAAAACAACAAAAGGCACAGACAGAGATGAAGCTGAAGCTGAAGCTGAAGATGGAGATGAGAGACGACGATGTGGCTAAAGCCACAGCCTAAATGCCGCTAAGTGCCAAAATGACAAGCATAGCAAAACGTTGGGGGGATACGGTGGGTTTGTGGTGGTGCTGATGCTGCTGATGGTGGTGGTGGTGGTGGGAGCCGCTTGGCATGACTTTGCTCAATGCCAGGCGCGCATACCATGGCCACATTAACTACTCCATAAAAGGTGTAAAGAAATCACTTAAGTACTTGTATGTCACTCCTTTGTCAAAGTAAATCATAGTGCGGTACCGTCCGGACGGGTTTTTATAGCCAGTCACACAGCCAACAGCTAACAGCCAACAGCCAACAGCCAACAGGCAGCAGGCCCCAAAAACCCAAAAGCCAAAGATAGATAAAGCTACATACAGCAGCCATAGCGCAGCTCTATCTATGTCTATGCCTCTGTGTGTGCGTGTGTGTGTGCGCGTGTGTGTGTGTATGGGTATATAAAATATAGGCGTAGAATGCTTTGGGTTATAAAGAATAAACGGGGGAGTTTTATTGACAGCCGCAATTACCACATAATCATGCAACAAATATGATGCTTGGATGGCAGCCCGTTGATGACGTAGCGTTGTGTATGGACCATGAAGTAGTCAGTTCTTCTTTCATAAGAAACAACAACGGCCAACAAAAACGTGCTGATCCATTACGGGTGGCAGGGCAGTGCAGGGGGCCACGAATCTGGACAGAGAGAGCGACAATCACAGCTACAACACCAGCTACATTTTTGTCTAGACTTATTGAGTGATCGTGGCAGGAGCCAAGACAACAACAACAGCAACAACAGCAACAACAGCAGCAACAGCAGTGCAAAGGCGCAGCCGTTTTTTTTAATGGGGTGGCAATCACTTGGACGACGACGAGTCCAACTGCAACTCCCAGCCCCGTGGCCAGGCCCCAGCATCAAATTATGGTCAAGTTGTTCGCCAGGCAAAGAGCTGGCAACAGGCGATGCCAGCAGCAGCCTCGTTTTTGTGCTCTGAACTGGGTTGGCAGATACTTAAGAAATATGTTATTAAATAATAATGGAGTGCGTGGTTAATAGATACAACAACAACAACAGCAACAACAGCAACTGCAGCTGTGGCAGTGTGAAAGAAGTGTGCGGCCCCCTCGGCGCAATCATTGTTAACAATCAATTAAGGAAATAAGTTGTTTATAAAATGTTGC